AGAGAGAAATGACCTTGGGAAATAACGTCTTCAGGAAACTTGACTTGGGTGGGTAAACATACAATATACAGACAACATATTATAGAATTGTACACCTATATAACTGGGGTTAGCCAATGTCACCCCAGTAAATTCAATAAACATAAAAGTAAAAAATCCTCCCAAAGATAGGCAGAATTCACTGTTTGGGATTGAGTAGGACTATAATCATGCTGTGAGGAACTATTAAGTTCCAGAAAAAATAACATCATGAACATAATTATATTAATGTTTTTAATTTCATTGGTTTTGCAGCTTTGTTTGCAATTCACTTATAAGACTGTTTCCATTTTATAGTTGTATAAGAGCTTTAAGCCCAAGGAATTTAAAAATATACAAAGCTTGGCTGGCATAAATAACGTTATAATAAAAATTCTTTTAAAAAATACATTTTATTGATTTTTTACAGAGAGGAAGGGAGATGGATAGAGAGTTAGAAACATCGATGAGAGAGAACCATCAATCAGCTGCCTCCTGCACACCCTCTACTGGGTATGTGCCCGCAACCAAGGTACATGCCCTTGACCGGAATTGAACCTGGGACCCTTGAGTCCGCAGGCCGACACTCTATCTACTGAGCCAAACCGGTTAGGGCATAGTCAAAATTTTTATAACAGTCTTTTTCTTTAAAAAAAAGTCAGGCATGCCGAAACCGGTTTGGCTCAGTGGATAGAGCGTCGGCCTGCTGACTGAAAGGTCCCAGGTTTGATTCTGGTCAAGGGCATGTACCTCGGTTGCGGGCATATCCCCAGTGGGAGATGTGCAGGAGGCAGCTGATCGATGTTTCTAACTCTCTATCTCTCTCCCTTCCTCTCTGTGAAAAATCAATAAAATATATTTTAAAAAAATAATAAAAAAATAAAAATAAAAAAAGTCAGGCAGACCTCCAAGATCTTGGAGTAGGCAGGGATCCTGCTGCTGGACCTTGAGACATCTCGTTGGCTTTAGCATACAAGTCCAAGTAGGCATCTGGCCCGGCTCCTCACCTGTGCACCCCAACGAATAGGGTCAGACCTATTCATTTGTGCACCTGGAAACAGTCACTCCCAAGGCCTTTTTCCTTTGCAGCCTGTCCTGATGCAGCCAAGGTGGTGTGCTGCCAATGGTCATCTCCTCAGGGGCAACTGAAAGTTTTATATCTAAAAACATCTGGCTGCCCTGGCTGGGTAGCTCAGTTAGTTAGTGTCATCTCAACACAATGAGGTTTTGGGTTTGATCCCCGGTCAGTAAACATACAGGCACCAACCAATGAATACCTAAATAAGTGGAACAAATAAATGCTTCTCCTCTCTCTCAGATCAATAAAAGAATAACAACAAACAAAAACAAATAGCATTTGGTTGGCATCCCCACTGTCCTATGGAGTAAGAAGACCCAAAAACGTTGCCTGTCTCTCAAACAAATCTTGTTGAGATAGTGTGTTAGAAGGGAGAGAAAGGCAGCTGCCAATCATGTTGATGGGACAGGCCCACTTTTACCAGATGAACTGTACTTGCATATTTCAAACGTTTTAGAAAATCATTCACCCATTGGGGGAAAACAGAAGAAATCATGAAGGCAAGGAATTTCCAGGGATGCTCAATCTCTATCCTTATTGTATTCACATGAATATTCAAGTCATGCAGCTTAGTTAGATGTTGGTCTATTTGAAGTATTTCTGGTGACTACTGAGGGTTGTCTAGACATAGACAACTTCAACTTTGTGCCTGTAAAAGTTCCAGTACAGTGCTTATTTTAAAGGTATTATTGAGCACTCTTGCTTATATTCTCTCAACCTTACAGTATGGCACAACTATAAAGCATTCATGATCTTGGTACTGAACAGGAAAATTTCACCATAGTGTCTGCTTCTATATTGTTTTATTTCAAAAGCTTAAATAAGATGTCCTACTCTCATTGTTCTTCTAGTATAATAGCAATTCCCATGGTGTGCTAGGGAGGGTGAAGGAATTACTTAGACTTTCTGCAGGAATTAAGGGTGGTGCCATCACTAAGGGGTGAATAGTGATAATGTATTTTTTTCCCTTTTCTGTGTTTTTAGCTCTAATGGCTAAAAAAATAATTCTCTCTAAAACCAAAAAGAAGAGAAACAGAGGCGGACACACAATACCTAATCAAGCCTGAGAAACACTGGGGCAGGAACCCTATTTGCCAGTTGAAGATCCCAAGATTTCTGTATTTCCAGAATTAAAGCTGATATATTCTGTGGCTTTGAAATTGTGGGCCAAAATATTCTTTTATCCTTCTCTTTACCTTGGCAGCTATAGCAGATCTATAAAGCTCAAAAGGCTTTCTTGAATCTGGAAACCATCCGTTTGAGCTAAGAAGTTGGGCCTTTGCTTTCAAAGTGGAAATCTTAAAAGAAAGGACTGCATGAAGAATCCTGCCAGATGGAGAGACCTCACCAAATGCCTTAAATGTAAGTGGGTAGCTCTTTGGGCAGGAAACAGACTTGCTCAAGAGACTTTGGAAAAGGCAACGGGTAGACTTGAGTCCACTCAACTGACCCATTAGGGAATCAATCCTACATGAGACCCTGGAGATACTTGTCAAAGTATCTTGTAGTACCTTACATTGTGAAAATAGAGTACAGGAAGTCACCCCAACAAAGTAGAGGCCCATCTGGCAGTACAGGGCTCTTTGATGATGTGATCCTCATTATAAATACTCTGAAGACTACCTCTGTTCAGTCTCATTTCACACCCTGGGGAGATAGTTTTGTGGGTCTTTTTACACTTTGCTTTGGACTTTACAGTCTCCCCAGGTTACAGAGATGACATCATCCTAGGCCCAAGGATGAAAAAAGTCTCGAGGGGCCGAGATAGGAAGTGTGGACCCATGTTGGTCCCCTCCAAGAGCGACAACACAGGACATCCTGGGGTGGGTATCGCCAGACTTCAGTCTCCTTGAAGGCAAACCCCCTAAGAAACAGAAACCACTCTCACAAACTTTGAACCTTTCAAACCCCATTGTTTTTGGTAAAATAAACATTAATAACTTAATTATAAACAGCCTAATCTAAGATTTGGCTGTGGGAGAACATCCATTTTCTGAGGAAACCCATTTCCCCTTAGAGATGAATCACTCTTTCTGTACTTATCAACCTTTTGCCTGGTGTCCTGTGTTCTCCTTCATCCTGCATCTGCCCCTCAGGAATAGTTCAGTATAAAAGCTCCGTAGATCCACTTAGTCCCATCATAACAATTCTAGTTGAGTAGGAAACAGAGAACCTGGGCAACTTAGCCTTCACCATGTGGGCCTCTGGGTACAATCTGAGGAAGGATAAGGGAACGCAGTTGTCAAATAAAGGGGTTTTACGGAGTGATCCCAGGTGATCTGATCCTAAATTCCTAACTGGGAAGGTCATGAGTGCTCACATCCAGGCCCACTAACTGATCTAAGGTTTGAAGCGAGCTGTCCATTTTTCTTGTGCATTTAGGCTGGAACCTTTGAAATACCAGAATGCCCCTCCAAAGGGGGCATAAAGACTCAAAAGCACATCCTCTTATAAAAACAGAGAACTAGCACTTAGGGGCCAGGTACACACAGGTGGCAGGGAGCATGAGGGAGTTCCTTGTGGGACCAACAGTTGTCTGGAGTGTGGTTACATAAATCTACACACGAGGTAAAATTGCATGGAACTTTATACACATGTGAGTGCATACTGGCGTTAGTGAAGTCTGCATTCTTGTATAGGAGGCTAAATAGGACCCAAAGATATTCTCCCATTGAGCCTCTGGAGGCTTTTGCAGATACTTTGATTTCAGTCCAGTAATAAGATTTTGTATTTCTGGCTCCCATAACTTTTAAGGCATCAAGTTTGTGGTAACTTGTTATAGTGGCCATGTAAACCTAAAATGTGAGTAAAGTAATACGGATGTCCTGATTCTTATACTGTTCTTCAGTCTTATGTAAGATGTTGCTAGGGGAAGCAGGGTAAAGGGTATGTGGGACTGTTGTATTTTTGCAACGTCTTGTTAAATATTTCACAAGGGCAAAAAGTAAAGAGAGGGGTAAAAACTTGAAGCCACGAAGAGCAAAGCAACGGAGCGTAGAGAAAGATAATGTGGTGGGCAGTTTTCTGACCCACCCACCTCCAACCCGAATGAAAATGGCCTTCTCTGGTTCTCCCTCCATCTGCAAAAGTGAAAATGGCAATCAGCCCTGTTCTGCCTCTGAAGGGCAGGAAGCAGGATGTCCCATCTACTGAGGACTCTTACGGTAGGCACAAATATCACCTCAGAACGTTTACAGAAAGCTTGTAAGGAATTAACTAGTTAGAGTAAGAAGCCTGAGACTCTAGAGAAATTACTAATTTCCCCAGAGCCACACAGAATTAAAAGCTCAAAGCCAGGTCTGCTGAGGCCAGGGTATTTAAAAGAACCATTTTGTGGCAGGTCCTTGAAGACCAGAGTTAGGACTGAGCTGAGAAAGGAGAACCTAGTTTCAACTGCTGGAGAGAGGATACATTTATTTATTTAGGTAAACTGAATATATGGAATGAGCCCTTGTAATAAAAGCCATGAAACAATGATATCACCTTCTCCTTAATATCTTCGCGTAAAGCAATTCATAGTATTTATCAATAATTAAAACTGAGAGAAAGCTAATATCTAGCATTAGGGAAGAGATTCAATCTCACCATAGAATGGATTTATGCAATAAAATGCAAAAGTATTTAAGCCAGAATATTTAATAAGCAAATACATATTGAAAGGAAGATAGTTTAATTAAGACTAAGACCATATCAGAGCAATTATTGATAAATGACAATTTTAATATAGCCTTTAAATTTATCAACATCTAGGTACTATTGGTAATCTTCCTTTCCCCTCATCCCCAAGTATACTGTTAGCTAACCATCTTGTTGGATAAAATTGTGGCATTTTATTTTTGTTTTCCTTCATTTTGGGTGTGGGGAAAAAAATATATATTGTATTCTTTACATTGACCCTGGGTTGCTAAAATATATTCTCCAGTGATTCTTTCAAAGAGGGTATGCAAGAAATAAACTTTCTGAATTCTTCAATATAAAAAAATACCTTTGTTTTACCCTCAAAATCAAATGCCAATTTGGCTGGATATAAGATTCTAGGTTTAAAGCCTTTAGCCTCCAGACATCTTATGATACTGCCCCACTGACTTCTAGCATCCAGAGTATCCAATGATAAGTCTGCGGTCATTCTGATTCTTATTCCTCTGTAGGTTACCTGTTTTTTCTCTCTGGAAGCGGCTGTGATTTTTTCTCTATCACTGTAACTCCCAAATTTCACCAAGATGTGTCTAGGAGTGGTTCTCTTTTTATCAATTTTACTGGGTATTCGAAAGGCACTGACAATGTCCAGACTTGACCTTTTCTTTAGCTCTGCAAAGTTTTCTTCAATTATTTCCTTAACTATTTCCTCTGCTCCATTCTCTTTATTAACTTTTTCTGGAATGCCTATCAAACGGATGTTTGAGCTTCTGGATCTATCCTCTACCTCTCTTATTCTTTCTTTAATTATTATCTGTTTGGCCATTTGCCTTGTATCCTTAGAGAACTCTTCAATTCGATCTTCTAGATGATTTACTTTCTCTTTAAGTATGTCTATTCTAACACTCAGTGTAGATAGCTTTTTATTTCCAGGATGGTAATTTTTAATATCTCCAATCTCTTCTTGTATCTCTCTGAGTGAATTAATTACACTTCTCCGAAAGTTCTCTTCCGTTTCTTGTAATAAGTCTGTTTCCTTAGATGTTAGCTTACATTTCACCAATTTTTTCTTCTCAGAATCTGAAGCCAAATGAGTACAGGAAAGTTCTTTTTCCTCAGTCTGGGAGGTAGTCTCTTCTGCCTCCGAGTCCTCTCCTTCTGGCCACGGTGAGTACCGTTCGCTTTCCCACTCGGAGCTTTCTCCCTCCTGTAGCTCATAACATTCTGTCTCTTCAGTTAAAATACTATCCAACTCCTCACTTTCAGCTCCATGTGCCAGGCTATGATAGTGAAAGTTCTGTTGGTTACATAATTCTGAGGCCGTTTCTTCCTCCGGTCCTGAATACTCTGCCCCTTGCTCCAACTCTGAAACCTCTTCCTCCTCCCCTAGCTCCGAGTTCTCTCCTTCCTCCAACTCAGAAGCCTCTTGCTTCAGCCCTGAAGTCTCTTCTCCCTCCTCCAAGTCTTCCTCTTTTTCTTCCTCTTCTAACTCGCAGGCCTCTTCTTCCTCCAGGGCTTCTTTGTCCTGAGTCTCTGAAGCCTCTTCCTCATGAGTTCCTCCAAGTCTTCCTCTTTTTCTTCCTCTTCTAGCTCGCAGGCCTCTTCGTCCTGAGACTCTGAAGCCTCTTCCTCGTGAGCCTCTAAGCTTTTCACTTCCTCTGCCTCAGCAACCTTTACCTCTTCAATAAACAGAAAGCTCAGGCCATCACTGGTTGCTGCCACAGCTTCATACTTTGACGCTATTAGAGTTTTGTTCTGAAAGGCAAAAAAAAAAATAAAAAAATAAAATTGTTAAGGCAGTGAAACCTTTCACTCTGTAAATTAAATGACTGCTATTTGATGATTAGCAAATACCTCGCATATTATTTAAATGATTTGTTCTTAAAGGCTTGGATCCCCAAACAAGTCATTTCTACTGTGATCATCCATCACACCTGCAATGACTTGTGTAGTACTTCCAACAGATTGCCATGAGGTTGTGTATACTGTATTCCTTCTATAGTCCTAACCCTTAGTGCTTCAATAATGATTTGTGTTAGTGAATGGTTTGTTATATTTAGGGAGGATAAAGAGACTTTGTTATCTAACTTTAGAAAGATTAAAAACAATTACAACAACAACAAAAATCCACATTTACCTTTCTTCTCCCAAACAAGCAAATTTAAAGTTTTTAAAAGATCCCACTTGCAGTTCAAACTCTGGCCATATTAATTACAAGAAAAACATATTTTGCTCATGAATTGCAAGAATATTGTTAAAATGTAATCAACCCAGAGGAATCTACCAATCCAATTGGTAGAGGAATCTACCAATGCAATTTCTATCAAAACTCCAATGGCATTTTTCATGGACATGCAATCCTAAACTTTACATGAAACCACACACACAAATCTCATATATACAAAGCAAATCTTGAGGAAAAGAACAAAGCTGGAGACATCACATTCAAACTATATGGCATTGACATAAAAACAGAGTAATGGGGCAGAAATGAACTCATGCATATATAGTCAACTAATGTATGAAAAGCCAAGAATCTACAATGGGCAAAGCATAGTCTTTACCATATGGAAGAAAAGAGAGGGAAGAAGAGAAAAAAGAGAATCTCTACAGGTTACCTTTTAAGATCGAGGTTATAAAAATATTCAGGAAATAAGCTAAAGTGTTTTTAATGAATCAAGTACATGAGGGACATACTCTAATATGCTGTAAGAAAAGAAAACCTTTATATATTGGAATGGATAAAAGTTAGATATTAACATTAATGAACAACCAGACGGGTTTTAATAAAAAAGTTCTATATGCATTTCTCTGATTGCGAATAAAGAAAACTTAGCAGACTACTTAACACATTAAAAATTGAACCTAGCCTAGCCAGCTTGCTTCAATGGTTGAGCACTGACCTATAAACCAGGAAGCCAAGGTTCAATCCCTAGTCAGGGCACATGCCCAGGTTGCAGGCTCGACCCCCAGTAGGTAGGGGGCTTGCAGGAGGCAGCCAATCAATGATTCTCTCTCATCATTGATGTTTCTGTCTCTCTCCTCCCATCCTTTCTGAATTCAATAAAAATATATTTAGAAAAAGGAAAAGGAAAAAAAAAATGGAACCTAATTACTTATACTCAATATTTCTGTTCTTATTCCCAGTACGAGGGCTTTGTTAAACTCATTCAATTCTTTGTTTCATTTTTTCCTTTTAATTATTTAAAAGGTATTAAAAATAAATAAAATAAAAGCTATTGTTCTGGTTATAGCTTTAAATATTTAGCATATATTTATTTATCAAAGTCTGGTGTATGTATAATCTCCTCTCAAATTATTCACTCTTACTTTTCCCAAATTTCCAACACCACCAATCTAATCATTACTTTTAACACCATGCTCTCACTTTTAACAATTCCTTAAAAATTGCTTGGAAGACCAACTAAATAAGCTCTACAGATTTGTATGCTTACCATTTTTTCTTGAATCCCATATCTTCTTCCTCCTTTCTTCCTGTTTTCATTTTCTGGGAGAGCCCCTTTCAGTAATTCTTTCATAAAAGATTTTTGGCTGATAAATTTCCTGAGGCTTTGCATGTCTGAAAAAGTCCTGATTTCACCATCACATTTAAACGCTAACTTAATGGCATAAAAAATTTTTGGTTCAAAATCATTTTCCCTCAGAATATTGAAGACATTACTCCATTGCTTACTAAATATTTTCTTTAACTTTGTGATTTTCTGAATCATCCAGGGACAATTCCTTACCTTGGTTAGTATTGTAGTCTTCACTTTGGTCTAATTTGCTACTGAGTTTAACTATTTCACTTCTTTTAAAAGTCAAATTTTCAATATCCTCAATATAGTTTTCTCCTTCTATTTTCTCTACCAACCCTGTTTTTATCGATGTGATATCTTTTATTTGTTGCCACTCTTTTCTGGTACTGGGGTTCTTTGGATTTTTCAGTTCAAGCATTGTACTTTTTACTCCTAAAATTTCCTTTAGTTCATTTTTAAGAGATTCCCTTAACTCTACAACCATTAAGTCCATATTTTCCATCAAGACTTTAAACTTATTCATAATAACTGCTGATATGTCTTTGTATTTTAAATCCAATAACTGAACCATCTCAGTTTCTATCAACTGAATCATTTCCATGTGGAAGCTGCTTTCTAGTTTCTTTGCAAGTGTAGGAATTTCTGATTGTACACTGTACATGGTGAATATGTTATCAAGACTGGATTGTCTTCGTTTCCTGAAAAGGAATTTTGTTCTTGCACACCTGCTGGATTTCCCCTAAAATCTTTTTACAAAATCATCTGAAATATAAAAAAATAAAGAACTGTTTACTGAAAAATTCTTTAACAGTGAAACCCCATGCAAGTTAAGACCTGAATGTACTAAATCATCCAAACAGTAGCTAAACAGAAACTGACTGGTTCTCCATACCATTAACTTTCTGTTAGTATTAAGTAGATTAATTACAAGAAAATATTTTTTAAAAGTGCAATATACCAAATTTTGAAAATCTAAGGTGATTTGGATGGAATCTTACACAAAGGAAGCCCCCTTTTTGACTGAAGAGATTCACATTAACACTTTTTTTCAAAACCAGCTGTCAAGTCAATTCATATTATTTTCTATGGTGCAAATATTTAGACACTAGAAGCCAGGTGCATGAAATTCATGTGTGTGTGTGTGTGTGTTGGTTGGTTGCTCAGCCCCAGACTGCAAAAGAGCCCTCAGGGGATGTCCGACTGCCACAGAGGCAGGAGAGACTCCTGCCACTGCTGCTGCGCTTGCCAGCAGTGAGCTCAGCTCCTGGCTGAGTGCACTGACCACCAGGGGGGCAGCTTCTGCGTTGAGCATCTGCCCCCTGGTGGTCAGTGCATGTCATAGCGACTGGTTGTTCCATCATTTGGTTGATTTACATATTAGCCTTTTATTATACAGGATATCCTGAAGGAAGTAGAATCAAATCTCATGCCCCCTCCCACTTAACAAAGGCCCTATTTTTGCTTGAGGAAACTCTTAGTTTGTTCATTTATGCATTTCATCATTCCACTATACTGCAGAAGTACCGAACCTTTAACAGGTTAAGCACCCAGCCTGTTTTGTCTTCTGGGCGAAAAGTATCCTGTCAGTCACCGGTGACTGATATGGTGCTTAATGTGTTAAAGAGAGAGACCACCCCCATTCCTTGATGAGAAGTGGGAAAGAACACTGCACACTTTGGACAATACCTGGGATACCAGCTCCCAAACCTCCCTCTGCAAAGCCTCAAAGATAATCAAGTTTTACCAATTGAGTTTACTGCTGAAGTACTAACAATTATGCCACCTACTGATTCATCATAGTTGTCAAGACCCAAAATGCTTGAACTTGCATATTTAAAAAGAAAAACTGCACCTCTTTATGAGGACTCAGTGACTTATAGGAAGGACAC